TTCCTGCTGTGAGCAGTTCCCTCTCTCCATGTAACTGCAGGAGTGCCAGAGCATTAAGCAGTAGGATTTTAGGGGTGTTAATTTAATCTTTTAAGTGTGGTTTGTGTGCTGCTTTCTGCAACAGCCTTTTTAAAGCATCCCCTATATGGCCATCAGAAGAGCTGTTCTGGTGAAAAGCAAACAACCTTGAAGTGTCATAAATTATTTTAATCTCTCTGAAGTTGCCTGTTTAATCTAGATGGAAGTTTTAAAGTCAGAAAGGACTCCCACAGAACACAAATTTTAACAGAGAAAAGATTTAGCTGATGAGAAATTAATTGAAAAAGGGCAGAACCATCAACATTTGGTGTTTTAAAATGAGCTTGTGAACACCAGAAAAAATGAGAAGCTGCTGTTCTGCGTGAATCCCCAACATCAGTCCAAGAATTGCACATCCCTGCCATTAGCTCCTCAACATCTTTATTCTGTTGAGCTGGATGAGTGAGGATTTATAGCTATTTTTTGGTTAATATTTCACACATTCCTGCCTAAATTCAACATTACAGAAAGTATGAAACAAGCAGGTGATATATGAAATTAAGAGTTACTTGGCAAATTACTCACTGGACTGGAAAAATGTCTTTGTTGTGAGACATCATTTAAAAACTGTTCTCTTTGTTCTCAAGCAGGTCCTTCTGAAACATCAGAGGTGGATGGAAAAATTGCTCTTGGAAAAAGTTACACAGGTAGATCTTTTAGTTGTATTTTTCTCTCATCTGTTTTGAACTGGATGAGTGAGGATTTATAGCTATTTTTCTGTTAATATTTCACACATTCCTGCCTAAATTCAACATTACAGAAAGTATGAAATGAGCAGGTGATATATGAAATTAAGAGTTACTTGGCAAATTACTCCATGGACTGGAAAAATGTCCTTGTTGTGAGACATCATTTAAAAACTGTTCTCTTTGTTCTCGAGCAGGTCCTTCCAAAACATCAGAGATGGATGGAAAAATTGCTCTTGGAAAAAGTTACACAGGTAGATCTTTTAGTTGTGTTTTTCTCACATCTGTTTTGGAAATGGGAATGTGTAAGTTTTACTTTTCAGGGCTCCTTCCTGATTTGAAGTCAGAGTTTAGGCTATTGCAACTTAAACTTCAACAGACAGGAAAATTTCAGTTCCCTCAATTTTCAGATGTCCGAGGAGAGAGACATAAAGAAGGAAATCTCATTTCTAAATTCAAAAAGGAACATCAGGTTGATCACAAAAGCACTAATCATTTGTGTAAGTTGAGGTGTTTCTCATTACATTTAGTTTGTTTTTTAATTGTTTATAAAGTTTAATAAACTTCTGCCTATGTACTGTGAGTACAGCCTGAAGTTTTTTTCAGCTATGTGTGAGGTGAGTGGGTATGTACAGACCATAGTATATGGAAAGCCTGTGTTGAGTAGGAGTTACTTGCTATAGCTAAACAGTATCTAAAATAAGCAATCTGTGTTAAAAATACTGCTTTGCCCATTTGCAACCACTAGAGAATATTAATCTGCATCTCAACCTGTGAACCTCTTCAGAAGGTGGCAGTGCTGCTGCTATCATGAATTTAAGATTCAGAACTCAAGCCTTCTGGATGTTGTTCATGTGAACACTATAGTCCTGGATTTTTCACTTGCAAAAAAATCCTTGCTTTGAATAGTTTGTGTTAAAAGTCCCTTTTATGTTTTTAAGACGGTGTGGTTTTTAATTTGTCTAAAGGAAGCCACCAGGAATCTGAGTGCAAAGAAGACACAGATGTGGAGATATCAACAGATGGTTAGAGAAATTACCATTTCCTCCTAATTCCTTCTTTTCATTTCATGTGCTTTGCATTTGCTACCCAGCACTCCCTCTGAATGACATCAGATCACCATTTGATATTTTCCATGAACAGGATGATATATTGACTTAGCTTCAATGTACTCCAGCTAAGGTGTCTCAGGAGACACTCCTACACACGACATTGTGTGAAGATCCAGTAGAGAGACAGTGAAGAACCATGGAAAGGGGAGACTCCTTCAGACTTGCTGGATCTTCACACAATGTCGTGTGTAGTAGAGAGACAGTGAAGAGCCATGGAAAGGGGAGACTCCTTCAGACTTGCTCCCAGAATTACATCCTATTTCTAGTTTATACAGATCTGAAAGGAGATAGTGTTCAAACTCATAGAATCACAGACTGGTTTGGGTTGGAAGGGACCTTAAAGATCATCTAGCTCCAACCCCCTGCATGGGCAGGGACACCTCCCACCAGCCCAGGTTGCTCCAAGCCCCGTCCAACCTGCCCTTCAACACTGCCAGGGATGGGGCAGCCACAGCTTCCCTGGACCAGGGAAGCCTCCCTGGCTAGCCTCACACTACAGGATTTTTTCCTAATGTCTAAGATAAATCTCCAACTCCAACCAAAAACCCCAACTTTCTCAACCTGTCTCCAGAGCAGAGCTGCTCCATCCCTCGGATCATCTTTGTGGCCTCCTTTGGAGTCACTCCAGGAGCTCCATCTCCTTCTAATGTTGAGGGCTCCAGAACTGAACACAGTACTCCAGGTGGGGTCTCATGAGAGCAGAGAAAAAGGGAAGCAGCATTCCTCTGGCAGAAAAATTAGAATGTATTCCTTCATACACTACTAAGTTTTAAAATAGTTTCCAAGATAATTGGCTTCACTTTTTAAACTTCACTGCAATTCAATGCAAAGTGCCCTTTCTCCCACCAAGTATTTATAGGCCTAATCCTATTTATTATGTTGGTACAGAGGAGCCCAACAAAAGCATTGTGATTATAAATTTCCCTCTCATTTTTCACTCCTGGCCTTGCAGCCTGTTAAGGAAATCATGACAGTGCAACAACTATGACTCTGTACAAATTGTAAAGAAAAATACATCAGCAGTAGGGGCACACAGCCTTTGTCTTCAGTAATCCTTGATAACAAAGGGAAAGAAATATTTATGATTGTATTAATCCTATTAACCCCAGAATAAGGAATTTCCTACTGTCATTAATGCCAACTCTGCACTGCTGCACATGCAATTTAGCAAGTATTAATCCCCACCTCCTTCCCCTTGCCTGGAATTGCTTAAAGGCTTATGGCAAAATAGCTTTGCTTCTGTGGCTGTTGCATGCTGTGAATGCAGAACATTTCAGTGAGCCAGGGGCTTCTTTGTCAAGTGTTTAATACAAAATCACTGAGTGTTTGGTTAAAAATCTTGTCTGTGTGTCCATCATTCAGCAGTCCTCTTTATTTTATTTTTTTTCCCCCCCTTCAGATTCTTCCCAGCATAGTTCTTCAGAAACAAGTGAGGATCCTGAGGTCGAGGTCACCCTTGAAGGTTGGTTCTCCAGACCATTAATTTCAGCCCACTGGGCATTTTTAGGTCAACAAATGTTTTGCAGTGCCTGCGTGACTTGGCACTCAGTCAGTAGGGGTATGTGCCAGTCTTGGCTGCAGTTGGGATTGTGCACTGCTTGGTAAACATATCTAGTCCAGAAGTGTTATAAAACTACAGTATACTGAAGCATATTGGAATTTCTGGGCTGGGTTTGAAACGATGTATCAGAGTTTTGCATCTTTCACATTTTTTTTAAGCATTGTTAATGAATATTCAGTGTTTAACAGCCATTAATCCCAATTTTCAAAAGATTTTATGGTAGTAATCTGAAGAACATGTTTTATAAACACACTAGTTAGATTGAATTTCTAGTTAACACTAGAATTATAACAAATGGTGTGTTAGAGGTGGTGTAAGTGAAGTTGCAATTTATTTGTTTAATATTGACAATTATGAGATGAAAAGCCTTTATACCTGCCAGCTCCCTTTCTCACCTAAAAGGCACTAAAGCAACTCACCAGTATCCATGTAGTTTTCATGCCTAGAATATTGGTTTGGGGTCAGCTGTATTTCTTTGTATTATTTTTATATTATTGTAATTCTGCTGGGGAATGACATGTCCTGTAACTGCTTTAAAACACTCCTGGGACTGACCTTGGCAGTGCTTGCTTCCGAAGTGGGTAAGATCAAGATCCACCAAATAAGCAATTTAGAAATTAGGCAATACATATTAGAACAAAGTTGATACTTCTGGCATTGCTGTCACCTTTTAATAACCATGCAGTAAAATAATTCTTATATTGCCTTAACAGAAAAGGTACTAAGAGAATAGTCATTGCACTGTGGATATGTAAAGGCCTTTACCACAAGGGTAAAAATGCTCTGAAAAAGTTTTCTCTCACAGAATATACTACAACTGCCTGCATGTAAGAGATGTCAGTATGTTATATTATTCTTCCTAAGTGATCTGTATCCTTTCTGACCTGGGCAGACTCTATTCTGTATGTGAAATTATAATTTTCTTTGTCTGCTTTAACCATTTATTTTCCCTAATGCTGCAAGAACTGGTTATTGGACAGTCTCAGGAACTCATTACCTGGTAGGGAAGCCAGTGTTTGGACTGGGAGGTGACTGACTACTAAGTAGCATCTCACTGAACAATACCTGGGGGTGGCAGTTTTCCCCCTCTGTCTGTGTGGTTTTGAGGGAGGGCTGACCTGCCACATGAATTTCAGTTACATCCATCAGTTTTATGTTGGTTTGAAACTGGTTTTAGCACCTTTGAACTCTTGAAGATAAAACTTAAGGTACCATGTTTCAAGGACACTTCCAACACGTTGTATTCCTGAGGAAGCACAGCAGAACCTTTGCTTTTTGCCATTTTAAGCCTTGTACTGGCTCTCCTAAGCATAATTGTTCCTACATAGGCCAGCTCAGACAAGGAATTTGTTGCAAAATTTGATGCCCTATTCAAGCACAGTTCAGTATTTGCATTAGAGCTTGGAAGTTCCAACCAGTTCAAACGTTCCTCATGAACTCTCTGCCCACAAAATCAGTGATATTTTGGTTTCTTTAAGATGATGATGAGTACCTGCCTCCCAGCAAGAAACCTAAGAGCACAGAGTCAACTAATGAAGCTGGCAATACTGGGAGATACAGAACAAAAGAGTTCAGTTTTGGTAAGATACAATTTAAAGATGCTTTTTGTCTCTTTGCTTTGCTTTATAAAAAGGTACTGAACAGTTTCACACTGCAGCAGTGAGACAGGCCAGTGCCAGTGTTGATTTAAGAGCCAGAGGCTCTTTGTAGCTGTGTTGCAGCAGTAGCAGCGGCATAGGCTGCCTCTGTTTCTCATTATTTAAAGTAGCCATCTAATCAGGCACAGCAAATAATAAGCCTAGATTTTTGTAAGCTGATTATTTTGGACAAGACAATTGGGCTGAATTCACCAGTGTTACTGAATTGTGGCAAACCTGGGGTCAGGAGCCTGGGCAGCAGCTGGTCTGTCTTCATGCATTCTGTGAGCAGTGAAGGTGTGCTTCATTCCAGATACCTGCCAACCCCTCTAAATTTTGAACTGTCACCTGATTTGGCAATTTATTTATGAAATGCAAAAAACAGTAAGCTGATAATAATGGGAGCCAGTTTATTGTTTTTATGCCTGTATTGTGGTGTATTTGATTACTAATCCCTCTAGTGTTTCCACTGGAGGGAGAAGGGGCATGGAAGTAGCTGCTTGAAAAGATCCTCATGGAATATTTGGCCAGTGATTGTGGGGTTTGGTATCTGGAAAAATGAAGCCTTGGCAACTTAATGGCTCATGTAGGAACAGTGAGCATTCCTGATTAGCAGAGGGAGACCAGGCTGTGTGGTGTCAGCAGCTTCTCCTAAAATTGCAGCAACAACCAATATTCAGAACAGTATTATTGATACACTTCTAGATGGCTGCTCTGTATTATGGCCTGACATTTTTTCTGGCTGTTTTCCCTTTGACAAAAGGCAGCCTGAGTTTTAGAGGAGATTGTTCTCTGAGTCTGCCTCTGAGGCTGTTGAGCTGAAGAGATTTCAACTCTGACACATTCCTGTGAGTTACAATCTGGACTCACTCAGGTGCCTTTCCAGACCCTTCTCCCAGGACAGTCCATATGTGTTCCCCAGCTCTGTTGAGTAAAGCAGGGTTTCCCCATTAGGCTAGTAAATTCTGACTCATGTTTTCCTGACTCTTCCTGGTGAAGCTACTGCTGATCCATCCATTGTTCTGTAAGTGAACAAAAACGCAGTTGGTGGTGGTGCTGGAATCAGGAAGGCTTCATCTGGCTCTGCATCTGCAAGTAAAGGGGGAAATAACACCCTGAACTCAAGACATGTTGAAGAAGCTGTGCACTACAGGGTAACAGTAAAAAGGGTGGAGGAAGCAGTTATATAGATTCCTCCACACAGATGTTATTTCACAATATAAACAGGTTAGTTGGTATATGTGCTATGCCAGGTAACCAGAATGAAGAGTTTTTGTGAATGCAAGACAATGTGCCAAAACACCCTTCCCCTCTAAACAAGGTCTTATTTTTGCCCACATCTGAAGCATGCTTTCCTCTTGATATCCATGAAATTATGTTTTAAAAAAATATAAGCTTAAAAATGGCTACCAAAGTTGTGTATACTGGCTTGAGAATGAATATTTAAACCCCTTTTGATACAGACTCTCCATTTTGCTTCTTGTCTGATGTAAGAACTTTATGGCAACTGGAAGTGTAGTAGTTTAAAAGGCCTCATTTTTTGACCTCTGTAGCTACTAGATTTCAAGTCTTTGGTGTAAGAAATAAGCTGTAAGTAGACTTGCTTATTAACTTGTTCTTGAAAGGCCAGCCAGCATCTGGTACCATCTACAAAAGAGTTGTGGTGTTTTCCTGGAAGTATTGAAATAGGACAAAAAGCTGTGAAAATGTGTGCTCTCTGTCACAGGCAGAAAATGAGATGTTAATGTTCAGCCATTTAATCCTGCTCTCTGTGGAACAGGATTGGATTTGGATAACTTCTGTCTTGCAGCCTGTATCTTCTTTCAGAAATAGGATTTATGGGGATGTTTTGCAACATCAGGAATTGGAGAAATACTGGATTAAGGCAGAGGAGGGCATGATGGCTCCTAACCCAGATAGTTGTGCAGATCTGCACCAAAACAAGTTCATATACTCACTGGAAGCTTTATCAAGCTTCACTAATTAAGCTTTTCAACTCCCAGGCTGAGATAACTGTCAACAGTGGCTGCAAACTGATTTTAGCTCTGATGATAGTGAGAACTGCTGGCCCAGCCATCAAAGATAAACCATTTTTGGGAGTTACTTTAGCCTGGTTTATGGTTACTTTGATTTTTTTCTAAACTTAGTTTGACATCTGCATAAGTTTTGCAGGTAATCATATATATTTTATCTCCTTTTTCTTTCTGAATGTATCCATGTATTTCAAGGTATAGCCTTGTACTGTACTCACAGGCATCCATGTGCAAGTGAGGTGTAAAAGCAAACTGCAGATTTCAGTTAGTGCTACATAGACTTTACAAGAGAGTCTCAATTTTGTTTGTAGTCTGACCTGTCCCCCTCTTTCCTTTGCAGATAAATGGAATGCAAGAATTACAGAATTGAGAAAGCAAGTTGAAGAGCTGTTTGAAGAAAAATTTGGTATGTGTTCTGCTCCTCTCCAAACAATTGCCTCTAGTTGTACATCACAGCTCTGTGTGCATCTGGTTGTTGGTTCAGGAGCACAGCACCAAAGGGTTAAATATTATTGGAAGATTTAAAACATGGGAAGTAGCTTTTTTTTTTGATGAGCAGAATCATTTCAAAATTTGATGTCTGTGTTTGGCACTGAAGTGTGAAACTTGATTTTATTTTTCAGCTGTGCTCAGTTTCCTGGAGCCCCAGTGGGCTCATGTCTTGGGCAGCCACATCTGAGAGAACTGGCCTTTTTGTTGTAATTACACTGAGTCCTTGAGTGAAAGAATCTTTTTTAAATGGCTCTGGGGAGAGGTTACCACTGATTGGTTGTTCATTTCTGATGATGATTGATTTGCAGTGAAGCAACAATTAGATGTTAATGGTTCTTGGAGAGAGAAGGAAACACGTTAGACTTTGGAATTTGACTCCAGGTGCTGCACCTAGATATGTTTTGTGTCCACATATCACAGGCTTAAAACAGCAATAGCAAAAAGTTGAAAATAAATGGTTGTGCTCCTCTGCTGTGAAAAGTGGAAGTGCTTTCAGGATGGACCTTGTCATTTGGAGTTATTCCATGGTCTGGATATGACTGTCATCTGACACTTAAACAGCCCACTGAAAGCAGCTCAAACCAAATGAAAACACTTCAGGATTTTAATTGCTCTAGAAAGGAGCATCATTCTTGGTGAATTGCTTTAATTTTGAGTGGTGTTTGCACATAGGCAGCCTAAAATTCTGTGGAGTCTGTTGAGTAGGAAGCTATTCCTGACTTGCCATAGCAGACCATATGGTGTTAAATTATCCCCTTTTCCCTGTGGATGACAATGTTTCATTGATTCACAAACCAATTCCATATCAGTTTCAATTTCTTTCTATGTGTATGAACATGCAGTTTCCTATGTACTGGAACGAGTTATGAATGTCCAGAATTCCCAGAATGCTCCTTAGATTTGTTGGCTTCTGGAGCTCCAGAGTGTTTTGGAGTGTCCATTACAACTGGCATGTCAGAAAATGTATTTATTTTTGTGTTTAGATGTAAACTAAATGGGACTGATTTTTACTGTAAATACAAAATAGTGGCTCACAAATACAGACTTAATTGATAAAAAGAAAACCTCTAATCACTAGGTTTTCTCTACAAGAATGTGAAAGGTTTCAAGTCTGAGAAACCTCCCTGCAAGCTGCAGTGCTGATCATGTCCTTCAGCTGTCTGAAGAGTGTTTGCTAAAACACATGCTGATTTATGAGAAATAGACTCTCACTGGTAAAAACATACCTGCTGTTATTTATTAAACAGACAGGATTTTTGTTACTCTGTAGCTGTTCTTACTTGATGTTGTGTAGTGATTTAGATTTTAGGGGTGTTCTTGATCTCTTTTCCTGTGGCCAGTTGTGCCCCAAACACTCTTTTCCCTCTGAAGTTTGGCTGCTGAATTTGTGATGCTTTTTGCCACAACAGCCTCCAGGGCTGAGAATAATTTTCTTAATTTCTTGGAATTATGAACCCAGTAAAAATCTGCTGCAATGACTGACTTGATACACAACAGCTCTTCTGGTGAATGTTGACGTTCGGTTCCTATCAGAATACAAGACTTAAGATACAAACAGTATTTTCAGACCTTCCCTGCTTTGTGATAAGCATACCTAGAACTGTTCTGCTTCCACGTGGTTGCGACAGGAGGTTGCCCAAATGTCTTTAAAACCTAAAATGTTTTATTGCTTTTTGTGAAGTAATGTGTGGGTTTTGTATCCACTGATGCCTGAACCACTGGCCGCTTTCACCTTACGTTGCTTGAAGTGCCCCAAGTAGTTTTGCTTTCAGAAACCCTATCCCAACATCGTTGTACACTTACTTGGCCTCACTTGCCTTAAACTATTTTTTGCATCTAATTTCCATAGCAAAACAAGAAAATGTACCAAACAATTTGCAGACCAGTCAGATGGTACTAGAGAATTCTCGTTGCATGGCCGAGAAAATTAACGTACCCTTGTGAGTATAAAGAAATCAGCCCTCTTGGTATTTGCAAACCATCCTGCCATTCTCCAGTGTTTGGCAGCCTGATAGGTGTGTTGGTATGATTATGGTCCTCAGAATTTAAACAAATACATTGGAGGTTATTTTCCAGCTGTAGGTGAATCTGTTACTTGCTTTTCATTTGCTTCACATACTTCATGAGTAGGGCCATGCTTTTTTCGAGGGGGTTAGAAGTGTATTGTTTGTTTCACTAGTGATAGCTTAGATTTCTGAAATGCCCTGAAGCTTTGGGAATTCACTCAGACTAGGGCATGTGTGTGCCCTTCCTCCATGGAATTAATGACTCTTGTAACCCAACAGCAGTAAAAAACAGAGCTAGTGAATTGAAACATGCTTGGTTTATAATTAAGTCCTAGGCTATTAAACAAACCCAAAATACTGTGAAGCTTCAGTCTCGCAGGTGCAGGCTCTGTTATTAAATTATTACAGAGTAAAGGGAAAAGAGGAGAATCTGCATCTGTGTGCAAGTCTGCAGCTTGTTTACTGTGCCTTAGAGTGCTGTAAAACAAACCCCTCCCCGATATGAGTGCTTGTTTGAATGTGCTGAGGGGGTTCTTGCCTCTCTGCTGATTCAAACGTTTCTCAGGGTGATATCAAACATATTGAGTAGAGCCACAAGCTGGTCTAACGTTTATATTCTCCTTTTTTCTTAAAGCTAAAGCTATAAAAGCAACAGGTCCAGTGTCTATCCCATATCCACTCTTCCAGTCACATGCAGAAGACTTGTATGTGGAAGGGCTGCCAGAAGGAGTTCCCTTCAGGCGGCCATCCACGTACGGCATCCCTCGCCTCGAAAGGATACTCCTGACAAAGGAGCGGATCCACTTCGTGATCAAAAAGTAAGGAATCTTGCATTTTTATCCCTGCAGTACTTCATTGTTCCCTGCTGGCTCCACTCTCCTTCCTTTTATCTTCAAGGATTTCCCAAGCTGGTCTCTACTGATGCGCTGCTTTGCAGGACTGATGAGTGATTAGTCAATGTTCACTCTAACAAATTGTTTGTCAGGTCACCAGGGCAGCACAGTGGTGGTTGAGGTCTGGACAGATCTCTTCAATAGGACAAACTTATCATGGGCAGATCTCTTTGTATTGTTTTCATCTCTGTGGCTGTGAGCCATGTTGAAAGCCATTGGCTTGGGGATGGTTTTTGCTATCTGAGGATGCTGGCCTAAATTTCAGCTTGTGCTTTTATTTGTGACTTGCTGGAGTGTTGTCTCAAGGTGCCTATGGTCCTGTCTGTATGTAGCATCTTCCAGGGCAGGCCTGAGGCCAGAAGGGCTGCTGGTTGCTGTGGTTTAGTTGGATGTGTGTCCTTGGTGTGTCTGGAGGTGAAGCAGATACAGTGTGTATGAAGGGACACCCTAGATGTACATAGAAACTGCTTGAGGGCTCCTTTGCCTGCCTTAGCCCCTTTCTTGCCTTGGTGTCTTTCCTAAAAGAGCCCTGACATTAATTTCTACAAGGGCAGGTGGGATGGAAGGGAGCATGGGTGAATCCTGAATTCAGGATATGCACGGAGAGATTCTGGAATCTGTGGATGCCAAGTGCTGGATCTCAGAGCTGCAGAGCACTTGGAGATCCAGCTGTGGGTGCAGCTGGGGCAGACCCACATGCAGCTTTGGCAGTGGGTGGATGTTTGCCTTTGTTATGGTTTAGTGCTTTCCCTTCAGGCAGATGTGATGTTTGACACCACAGATGGGCACTTAGAGTTTAAATGAAGCTTCTCTAACAGCTGAGGTTTTACTGTTGTTCACTGGCATAGGACCTAATCCAAGAGTTTTCCAAGTGGACAGGAATTGGCTGGTTGCAGTGGTCAGGCTCAGAAGTGGTGGTGGTCACAGCCTGTGCCTCTGTGTCTGCTGCCTTTAGCACAGATGCTGACTTCTCAAATTTGAGAGGTGTGTTCAGTCTGTGTCATCCTAATGCTTGCAGATAACCAGAGAAGAGGAAGAAGAGTAGATCTACATCTTGGCTCACAAAATCAGACACTGTGCATGGATTTTAATATTTCTGTAATGCTGCCACCTGCTCTGCTCAGATTTGTCTTAGTTGTTCACAGTAGTTAACTTGTGCTGTTCACCAGTTTGGTAATGTGTGGTAACCAGAGCAGCTCAACAAACAGTTCAGCTCTGTAAGAAACATCAGAACTTTTCTTGTTTTTGTTGTTCTGAAGTGGGTAAGACTAGATGTGTTTGGGAAACAGAAATGTCTGCTTTGGGATTTTAATTTTTTAAAGGTGACATTTTCAATCTGGATCTTTGTTTCTGTCCAAGTATGTCTTAGACTTTGGAGATAATGTGATCTGTGTGTTGCATGAAATATTCTCCCTTGGGTGGATGTGGGTATTGGGCATGGAAGATGTTTTTGTCAGTAGGGTTCCAGCCAGCTCTTACAAACCTTTGTTGTTAATTGGAATTTAATGTTGGGGATTGTGGTGTCCCATTAAGTTGTTTTTTTTTCCCTGTTCCTTCAGTGGTAACTTGAGGCTGTAACTGTAGGCTGTGGTTTCTGGTTTATCAAAGTGTCTGTCACTGTTGAAGCATGTACCTTAAATCTTTTAGGCATGAGCTTTTGAATTTGGCACGAGAAGAGGCACCATCAGACATAGAAGCAGCAGGAGGTAGGTCTTGAAATGTGAGTTGTACAAGTACAGTATGATTTGCTGTTTGTCAGTCTGGGTGGTGACTACCATGTGCTTTTACTAAAATCACACTGCAAATAATTCCTCTTGTTTTGAATTTTCTTTAGCTACAACATGACAGCAATTTTTTGCTGGTTGTCTAAGCCAGTGTTACTAACACTCTTACCAACTAATTTGTTGTTACCAGGAGGAAAAACAGCTGTTAAGTCTGAGCTACAGAGAAAAGGCAATGGTTTCCATAGCTGATAGTTTACTGGGTAGGGAAGTATGTCATGGAATAATTGTTTATTTTCCAGGATTAGATTAACCCAAAATGCAGTAACGAACATGCTGCTTACGGCGACATTTATTCTTGTAGACTCTTGACTTGCTCGGATGATGGTCCAATTGTGTGACTCACTATTTCTTACACTTTAACTCGCTTGTATGTACACAGTTCCCTTCCAAAAATCATGCTTGGCTGCTACTTGTGAGATGGATGTGACAGTTCGAAGCCAGAGAGGAAGGGCAAAGTTCGTTTGTGATGGATACCTTTATGTATTCGATAGACCCAGCCGAGCCGGGGACGGTGTTAAATTCTGGCGTTGTGAGCAGAAAAACTGCAAGGCCAGAATTCACACCAGGAATGGCGAGTTGATCAAGATGATCCACCAACATTCCCACTTGCCTTCGCCAGCCAATGTTGAGGTGAAAAAATTTCTGACGGGCATAAAGCGGCGAGCTGAGGAAACCTTGGAGGGTGCAACCGAAGTGATTAACTCGTGCGTGTCCAGCCTGAGGTCAGAGGTTCAGGCTGTGATTCCCAAAACAGAAGCTTTGCGGAAAACCATCCAGCGAGCACGGAATCAATTGGAGGCAGCACCTTCAGACCCAGCAAGCATGGATTGCCTGGTGTTACCCAAGGAATATAAGCTCTATTCACCCACACCAGGCGTGCAGGAGTCGTTCCTGTTTGGTGATTTTGGAGAAGGATGCAGAAGGATCCTAGTGTTTGGCAGAGCAAGCTGGCTGCAGATCCTGCAAACATCCGACACCTGGTATGTGGACAGCACTTTAGCAGTAGCTCCCAAACTCTTTGCCCAGGTCTGTGTGATCCTGGCAAGGCAGTATGGGGGTGTGCACCCAGTGCTGTACGCCCTTCTGCCAGACAAGGAGCTCTCCACCTACAAGAGGTTGTTTGATTTTATTAAAATCCTGGTGCTTAACAAATGGCCACAGTCCGTTTACTGCGAGTACGAAATGGTGATCATGCAGGCCATCAAGGAATGCTTCCCTGGAGCAGCTCTCAAAGGCTGCTTCTTCCACCTGGTTCAGAGTATGAGGAAGCATTTGGCATCAATACATGCCATTCAAGAATTTGACACAAACACTGAGTTTGCCCTGAAGGCCAACATGGTTGTGGCCTTAGCATTTGTGCCTGTCCCAGACTTGGGGGAATATGTTGATGCTCTGGAGGAGTATCTGCCCAAAGAGCATCATTGTCTCCTCAACTGGTTTGAGGACAGCTATGTTGGGCATCCAGATGGGACAAGGTGTAGCAGACAACCTCCTCTGTTTCCACCATCCATGTGGAATCTGTTTGACAGAACATGGAGCACTGAGGATTGCACTACCAACCATTCTGAAGCTGATCGTCACCTCCGAGCTAAATTGGGAATAAGCCACCCAACCATCTGGAAGTTCATCGATGGCCTCCGAAAGGTACAGAAGGACAGAGACACCTACCATGAACAGCTTGGTTTAGGCCACAGTCCTCCAGTCAGACTGAGGAAATACTGCAAAGCAGATCAGCATATTTCAGAGATTGTGTCTAATTATGGCAATAGAAGCCCTCTGGAATACTTGCATGCCATAGCTTACAACTATCAAATAGTTTAAGAAAATGTTGTTGATGTTTTACGGTTGCAATTTTTAACATTTCCAAATCTCACCACATGTATGTGAGCAGAAACAGGTCTGGGACAGTTCAGCTCAGCACATTGGGTTGGCTGTGATGAATTGTCCTGGACCCATAATACCATGGAATCATGGAATTGTCAGAGATGGAAGGGACCGCTAGAGATCATCTAGTCTAACTCTCCTGCTAAAGCAGGATCACTTGGAGCACATTCCACAGGATGCATCCAGGTGTGGGTCTTGAATATCTTCAGAGGAGGGGACTCCACAACCTCTCTGGGCAGCCTGTCCCAGGGCTCTGTCACCCTCACCATAAAGAAGTTTTTCCTCATATTTAAATGCAGCTTCCCATGTTCCAGCTTGTGCCTGTTGCCCCTCATCCTGTCACTGGGCACTACTGAAAAGAATCTGGCTCCATCCTCTATAGACGTATATTCTGATATACAGAAATTAAAATAATAGTGTTAAAAATGCTAGGAGATAATACTAAAAGTAACAATGAGGTAAAGACAGCTACACCAAATGAGCTGTGTGGTTTCATGTAGAGTTGTCCTGTGGAGAGTTGGCTGCAGAGTTGTCCTGTTCTGACAGTTTTCAAGTAGCAGTATGAAGGCCACGTGTTCTAGTGACTTCTTTGATTAGCACTTCAGATGCATGCTCCTACCTGTGTTGTCTCCATGGAGAACCCATGCAAAGGTAAAAGGAATGACCATGGAAAAACAAGACCACAAGAACAGATTTTTGTTCTGACTACACCCTTAAACTCATTTTCCCTGGAACTGGGAGGAAAAGAAAATAAATAGGAAAAAAAGCAAGTTTTGAAAGAAATGTGCCTTTGTGTGGGCCCTAGTTGTGAAATTACTTTCCTGCACTTATTTTCCTCTTCTTGTGGGATTGAATAGTAGTTGGATTCTACTGGTGCTTGAGCTTCAGGGCATTTTTTTTTAATTGTCCAAGTAAGCTGAGTGTTGAAAGCTTGTATGCCTGAACCAGTGGTAGCAAACAAATTGCTTCCAACCCCCTAATGCTAAGTGGCAACCTCAGCCTGGTTCAACTGTGAATTTGTAGTACCACCAGAGAAATTCTTAGTTCAGAGAGGGATGCAAGCATGCAAATGGTAGTACCTGCCCTACTGCAGCACTGTCATGTCGTGTTACATATTCAGTCCTCTGTTGTATAAAGGTGTTCTTTATTAAAAAAAAGTACATCAAAGACTGTACTGAAAGTGATCATTAAAAATTTAAATTAAGCAAAGAAATTATGTCTAAAGGATGTCTCTTTAACGTGTGTAGGAATTAAAGCTTTCCTGCAAAAAGCAGCCCAGGGAACTGGTGGTTAGTCTGAAGAAAAGGAGGCTGATGGGGAGACCTTGCTCTCTATGACTACCTGAAAGGAGGTTGGAGCAAGGGAAGGGTTTGGTCTCGTCTTCCAAGTGACAAGTGATAGAAGAAGAGGAAATGGACTCAAGTTGTGCCAGGAGAGGTCTAGATTAGATCAAGTGACAGATAAAATATTCTGTAGGCATCTTGGAGAAGTCTCATGATCGCTTGCTCACACGGGGGACTTGAACTTCATGGATGTCTGCAGGAAATACAGTCCATCAGAGAGGGAACTGTCCCAGAGGTTCCTAGAGTGTGAGGAGGATAACTTTCTGACACAGCTAGTGAGGGAGCCAACTAGGGAAGGGACCCTGCTGGAGCTGCTGCTTGTCAACAGGACTTGTGGAGAATGTGACAGCTGGAGGCCATCTGGGGCACAGCGACCAGAAAATGATAAGAGTTTTCTATTCTTGGAGAAGTGAGGAGGAGGGGGAAGCATAATTGCCACCTTGGACTTCCAGAGGGCAGACTTTAGCCTGTTTCAGAGACTGGCTGATAGAGTCCCTTGGGAGGCAGTCCTGAAGGGCAAAGGAGGCAGGAAGGCTGGACATTCTTCAAGAAGGAAGTCTTAAAGATGCAGGTGCAGGCTGTCCCTGTGTGCTGAAAGACAAGTTGGTGGGGCAGAAGACTGGCCTGGCTGAACAGAGATCTGGTTGCAACTCAGCTTTCAACACTGTTTCCCATGACATTTTCCTGGAGAACCTGGCTACTCATGGCCTGGACATGCTTTGCTGGGTAAAAAGCTGGCTGGCTGGCTGGCCCAAGGAGCTGTGGTGAATGGAGTTGTATCCAGCTGGTGGCTGGTCACAGGTGGTGTTTCCCCAGGGCTCAGTGTTGGGGTCAGTTTTGTTCAAGAATTTTATCAGTGATCTGGATGAGGGGATCAAGTGCACCCTCAGTCAGTTTGCAGGTTAAGTTGGAAGGGAGTGTTGATCCATCTGAGGGTAGAAAGGCTCTACAGGGGGCCTGGACAGGGTGTGTTGATGGGCCAAGCCAATTATATGAGGTTTAACAAGGCCAAGTGCCAAGTCCTGCACTTGGGACACAACAGACTCCAGACTTGGGGCACAGTGGCTGGAAAGTGCCCAGCAGAAAAGGACTTGGGGATGTTGATCGACAGCGGCTGAATATGAGCACTGGTGAGGCCAAACCTTGAATTCTGTGTTCAGTTCTGGGCCTTTCATGACAAGAAGGACATAGAAGGGTTGGAGCATGTCCAGAGAAAGGCAACAGAGCTGGGGGAGGGACTGGAGCTCAAGTCTTATGAAGGGCAGCTGAGGGAACTGGGGGTGTTCAGCCTTCTCAGTCTCTACAACTGCCTGAGAGGAGGTTGGAGCCAGGAGGGAATCAAGTCTCTTCTCCCAAGTAGCAAGTGACAGGACAAGAAGAAATGGCCTCAGGTTGTGCCAGGGAAAGTTTAGATTGGGTATTAGAAGAAACTCTTTCACTGAGAGGGATATTGAACATTGGAACAGGATGCCAAGTGAGGTAATGGCCATCCCTAGATGTGGTGCTGAGGGACGTGGTTTAGCAGTGGACTTGGTAGAGTTAGGTTAATGATTAGACTCAATGATCTTAAGGGTCTTTTTGAACCATAATAATTCTATGATATTAGAAAAAAATGATTCACCAAAAGGGTTGTCAGGCCCTGGCAACCCAGGTGAGTGGTGGAGCCATCATACCTGGAGGAATTGAAAAGCCATGTAGATGTGCTGAGGGATGTGGTTTAGTGGTGGCCTTGGCACTGCTGGGTTACCAGTTGGACTTGATGGTCTTGAAGGACGTAAATGATTCTGTGGTTCTATACAGGTTAGCCTAGCATTTTGTGTCTTAGTAGCATTCTGTTCCTTCCAGCACCAAATTTTACTATAAAAATAGTCTGTAGAGTAATGACCAAGTCTTAAACTTAACTGTACTCTTATGTGGCTTTTTTAATTAGCCCTTTTCCACGTTGTATTTAACATGGTTATACCAGTTATGAAGACAAAGCAGATAAGATGATTACATACTTTGCAAAGCCCCTGTAGCAAAGAAAACCAGTGATGAACAGTCACTTTGTGTTGCTTTTTTTCACTGATTCGTGATGGTGTGTTTGTGTCTGACCTCTGCAGCATTTCTGAGAGGACACAATCACAGAATGGTTTAGGTTGGGGCTTTTCAAGGCCATCAAGTCCAACCCCCCTCCAGGGAGCAGGGACACCCTCAACTGGACCAGGTTGCTCAGAGCCCTGTCCAGCCTGACCTGGAATGTTCCCAGGGATGAGGCTTCTACCACCTCTCAGAGCAACCTGTGTCTCTCATTGTATGCAATTATTTCCCTAATATCTAGCCCAGATCTCCCCTCCAGCACCTGTGAGAGCTGTCGGTAGCACCTCAGGGAACTGAGCAGCTGCCTCAGCCCCTTTTCCCTCAGTTTTCTCCCCCTTTCCCTCCTCAGCCGGGAGCTGGGCGGGCTCCAGTCCCCAGCAGGGGGGGAAAGGCAGAAGAAACACCCTTTTCCTGTGGGAAACAGGCTGGGTTTTGGGGCGGAGCAGCAAGAGCGAACCCTCCTCTTCCTCAGCGACTGGAGGGCGGGCAGAACCAGGAGGCGGGTTTCGCGGGCTCGCGGGCGTCTGCCCCGCTGCCGAAGGGATTAAAAA